GGCCAGACTCTGGCCCATCCACAAGTTGAGAAGCGTTTCCTCTAGTCAAGAGCCATGGCTAGATGTGTTCCAAAAAGACATGGCAAACTCAGCAAAATGAACCTATCATCTTCCTCCCCTCTCCCTCTCCTCCCCTCCTCCCACCTCCTCCCACCTCCTCCAACTCTAATGCCGTTCCGGTTGCTGCTGGAAACCATTCCCTCTCCTCACCTCCCAGGTCCTGGAGGTTCCCCCATCCTGGTATCTCTGGCTCTTCCTCCCCATCTTCCTTCCACCACCTTACTCAGGCCCTTGTGATTCCTCACCTGAGCCTCCATGCCTCTGTATCTGCGGAGCCCAAATCTTCATGTCACCCCCGTGTTTAAAACGTCTCTGGGCCCCTCATCCCCCCAAGACAGAGTCCAGACCCTTATTCTGCACCAGGGAGCCCTTCAGAGCCTAGTCTCTGCCTGCCCCTCAATTCAATTCAATTCAGTGCGATTCATTTCAGCAAACAGCCCTGCTGCCTTCCATGTGCGGGGCCATGCCAGAGACGTGAAACCAAAGGATCTCAGCTCACAAAGCCAGGTGAGTAAATGTGCAACTGATGTAGTGTGACGGACTTAGCAGAACCACAGGCCTTGGAGGCCTAACCAGTTAGTGGTAACTCCTCCAGGGAGTTAGTGCAGAACCAGGGCTATGGTTAACTCTCCAGGTCTGGGTCCAGGGTTCTTTCTACTACTCAGCATAGCCTGGCAACAGAGGCTTCTGCTTTGCCCAATACAATGAAACAGAATAAAACATGAAGAAAAGACACAAGGTAGTCATTGATTAAAATATAAATTAAGTATTAAAAAGCAAAGCCCACAGAAGTTACTACAGGGACACGAAGTCAAAGTGAAACAAGAGCATTTAAATAGTGCACTTACAAGATGGAAGCACAGAGAGATGGATTATGCTTAAGCTCAGCCCTGACGAAAGTTCATCACTCACTGATGTTGGTCAAGCAGCACAGAACTGAGATAACAACCTGCTCGCAGGTGCCCGGAGGACCACTTGGGCAGGGGCAAAATGGGTACCTGTGCCTGTTTATTCTGAAATCTATGAGAAATTAGAATAAAATTACTTTAAAAAATCTAGTGAATAAAACACACAGGCTAAAGGACTGAATTTATTTCAAAGAGTCAAGAAACTAAATTTAAGAAGCCATGAAGTGATTTCTAAGAAAATTCCAAGAGGAGATTGGGAGAGTGTCATCTCAAAAATCAGAGACCATCAGAGGGAAAGGAGATCACAAGAGATTATCGAGTACATTATCCTCCGGGGACAGCATGGCTTTCAATCTGAGAGAGATGATGTCTACATTTGCGCGACCATGTCTTTAAACTGCAGGCTGAGAGCAGGTCAAGAAAGCAATTTAAAGTGGGTCATGACAATTAACTTCTTTTTAACTGAAAGAGAATAGAATTTAGCAGAAAACATGAGGTTGCATTTCATGTAGCAAGAGTAAGTTCTGAGTTTTCTGTAAAACTATGTGCACAAACATGTGTTCAGCAGTTCACAATATAACACATATTGAGTTGCAGTCAAGAAAGTTTGAAAACCACTCTTCTAGAAAACTTATATTAGAGAGGGTTTTATTTCTAACACATAGTAAACACACTCAGTTATGAGTACTGACCCTCTGCCTCATTCTTGGAGTTGGTGCTAAAATAAACAGAGAATGATGGTGAAATATTAGAATTGGAAGGAGGAAACAAATTTGCAGAATGTAAATGAGTGAACGGGTAACAAGAGGCTAGAGATCAAAGGAACAAGATGTATGGGCTCTGGGCGTTTCCAAAAGCCTCCTGCTTCATGATGACTAAGGACCCCCTGGCTGGTCTCCTCGGAACACTAGGTATATAGTAGTTGCTCAATAGTTACTTGTCCAATCACTTTCTCCTGGAAGCACCTGTATTCTTTCTAAGGTAACAGTTATCAAGCAGTGTGACTTTGCCTTTTTAATGTCAGTCTCCTCCACTTGCAGAAGCTCCTTGAAGGCTGGGCTAATGTTTGGCCCACTGCTGCATCTTCACCTGTATGACAGTGCCTCAGTAAATTTTGGTTGGACTGAACTGAAAGGCATCAAAGGGCAATGAAGATCTAGCTCTAATATCTATTTGATACTTGAACCCCATTCACAAGGACAAACTGATTTCAGTTTATGGAGCAAAGGATATTCTCATTTAAAACTCTCTCTACGCCTCTCATCCCCACAAGATGAAGTCCAGACCCTTGTTCTGGATCATGAGGCTCTTCCCAGCCCAGTCTATGCCTGCCATTCAATTTAGTTCAGTTCAGTTCAGTTCAATTCAATTCAACTCAGCAAACAGCCCCTGAGAAAAATAATAATAACAACAAAACTCTGAACTTTGCTCCAGGAAGCAAATAGCTTGGACTCTCTTATGCCTCTTGGCCCAGAGATCAGGTTCACTCAACGAACTTGTCCTATTCCAGGACAAGAGCCTCCTGAAATGTCAGAGGTTCTCTAGGACATCAAGCCTGGACCTACTTTTTGGAACCAGTTTGGCTCCTGGAGACACACACTTTTTCTAGTCTGGACAGCCTGAGGGCAACCACCACTTTGCAGGTGAAGCTGCTGGGCTGCTCAGCGGCCCCACCTGTGTTGCTAATAGGAGCCGGCAGGATGCCCCGGAGGGCCCGAGGCACAGGGCTGGATTGGGAGAAGCAGTCAGCTGACGCTCTGGGAATCAATAGTGAACCAAGCCTTAGTTGCTTCCCCACAAGAAGCCGAGGCTGGAGGGAAAAGAGACAGATCTGGGAAGTAATCATTTGCCTTCCCCACCCTCTGCAGCTCTTCCTACCTCCACGCCTAGGTGTCCAAACCCAACCCCCAGTAGTGCAGCTGTTTAGAGGGGGTCGAGAGGGAAGCCCTGAGCATGGGTGTGTAAGGAGGGTGGGCTGGTCCGAGGCTCTAGGCTTTGGAAAGGCAGACGGGGAGCTATCAGCGAGGGGAATGGATGAAAGATGCCCTACACCAGAAGTCAACTCAAATTCAAAGGGGAACCCACTAATCTCCTTCTCAGCCAGACAAATGCCCAGATAGCTGTTACCAAAGGGAAGTCCTCTGTCAGGGACACGGATTAGCACTGAAGGTAGAGATAAATGTCCTTTCCCTGCAGTGATACTATAGCACCGGCTTCACCCTTCACGCGAGCTGCTCCTTATACACGGCCGAATCTCACGTCTCTGTGGATGAGGAAGGCAACAACAGAATAACCCTGTCCGCAGAGTTCAGTGGATGCTAGGAATCCGAAACTTACTTCACCAGTTTCAGGTTCCACCCCCCACTGAATCTCTATCCCAGTCTCCCTCCTACCATCTGCCAGCCCACGCTGAGGAATATACATCATCCTTGGGTTAACCTGAGTAGCATATAATCAAGAGGAGAAGTTGGCTTAGGGCCGGAGGAGAGAAAAGGGTTGCAGATCATATACTCCCAAGTTAAGCAGAAACAAAGTTTAGGCTTTTTTTTTTGGACACTATTTATACTTATCTCAATACTTAGTTTGAATCCCAATCCTAACTTCAGTCTAACAATCTCTCCCTGCCTCAGTTTCCTAAGAAAACACATGCAAAAGATTAAAATATATACATATGCCCACAATGTCTAGCAGTGTCTGGCAACTGAACGCACCAGCAAACTACATCAGTCCTCACTGGGACTGCAGTACTGCAAAATGGATCAGAGCAGAGGGACTCCAGGATCCTGGTTCCACGGACCTCACTGGCTTTGAGGCCTTGGAAAGGTCCCTACCTCTCTGGGCTTTCATTGTCTCCTCTACAAAATGGGAATAATAAAACCACTTCATAGGGTTACTGTAAAGATGAACTGAGAACCTGTATGTAAAACGCCCGGTGCAGGCATGATCATAAATGATGGGCATTGTCACATTGGCTTCTCCAGCAGAGGTAAACATGCACCCCATAAAGAGCTGTTCTCAGGTGATCACATGACTCTGTCAAAGGCCACTGATGCTTGAACATCAAATTCCATCACGTTCCAGCATGTTCCCCTATGCCCCTGCTCCTCCTGCCATATTCCCTGTTCCAGTGTATGGCCCACTGGCTTCCCAAGTTTCCAGCTGAGAGATCTTGCATCCCTCCTTGACTTCCCTCTCCCCTCACAGCAAATCCATCATCAGGTTCTGTTCATTTTACTTCTTGACTATGTCAACTCCATTTGCTTCTCTCTGTCTGCTTGCTGCAAATATGAGTTCAGGGCACCACCAACTTACCCCTAGATAACATGTCTCCAGCCTTATCTCCCTGCCCCTGCCCCCCACCTTCAATCCACTCCCCAAGCTGCGCCTACAGTCATCTTTCTAAAGTGCAAATCTGACCGTGCCTCTCCTGTGGTTTAAACCCTCATGGGCGCCTCAAAATAAAACCCAAGCCCCTAAACGTGGCTGCCAGAGCCTGCCATAATCTGTCCAGTGCTCAGCCCGCATCCTGGCCTCATCCCTCACCATGTGCCTCCTTGTTCTATGTGTTTTAGCCACACCAAGAACTTACAGGAGTACAGCCAAATCACGCTCTCTCTCTGCAGTGATTTCACACACGCCTTCCCCTCTGCTGAGAATACTCCTTTGTCCCTTCTCTTCACCATGCTCACTCACGCTATATTTTTAGATTTTAACTTAAGTGTCATTTCTTCCAGGAAGCCTTCCCCAGGACTTGAATACTGGCTTCAGTGCCCCTTCCACTGTGGAGAAATGTCTGTTTAATTGTTCACCTCCCCCAAAAGGGCCTCTTGAGCACAAAACCCATTTTGTTCTTGAAACGCCCCACGTGCTTCAAACAGTGCCTGGCACAAAACAGACGCTCAGATGTTCGCTGGACAGATGTATGGGTGCGAACCGTTGGGCTCTTCCAGCTGGAGCCATTTCCAGTCGAAGGCAGTAGTTAAGCCAACCCCAGGCACCGGAAGGTTTCCACGCAGCGAAGACAACACCTACCTAGAATGGCCACCACCTCGTCATCCTGGATCACCTCCAGGGAGCCGGAGACCACAAAGCAGAGGCTGTCGACGCTCTCCCCTGCGTGGTAGATGAGGTCCCCTGGGGCGCAGTGCACCGTCTGGAACTCCATGGCCAGGGCCCGCAGGCAGCCGTCGCTGGCCAGCCGGAAGGCCGGGTGCTCCTTGAAGACCTTGCGGTTCAGGTGCACGCAGATGTCAGCTCTCATGTCCTTGGGGCAGATCTGCAGGACCTGACAGAGCATGGGAAGAAAAGGGTCAGGGTCCTCGCTGTGGCCTCCAGCTCGCTGCTCCCTCAGCTTCCCACGGGCAGCAGCAACACCCACTAGGCTAGACTCACTCTTCAAGGCACTAGTGGCCAAGACAGCCACACTCCCTGTCCTCGTGGCGCCTACCTTCTCAAAGGAGAGACAGGCAGGGGCCCCCCAAGTCTATGCTAAATGCTCGGGACGGGGGCTGGGAATACATGGGACGCTTTAAATAGGAGATCTGGGAAGGCCTCTCTGAGGAGGTGACAATTAAGCTGACATCTGCCTCATGTGTCAGAGGGAGGCATGTGAAAGGACATTCCAGGAGAAGAGCCGAGGCTGCGACGGGACCTGAGAAATAGCCAGTGCGAACGAGGGGAAGGCGGGCGCAGGCGGCGAGGTTTCGGGAGAACGCCAAGCCTGAGCACATGGAGAGGCTTCTACATTATGAGAAGACCTTGATTTTGATTCTGAGTGTGATGGGAACACATTGGAGGACTTTAAGCAAGGGGGTGACAGGAGATCCTCCATGTTTTAAGAGGATCCTTGCAGCTACAGAGGGAGTTAGGGGGCCCTGACTGCAGGTTGGCAGCACTGGAGCCAAGGAGTCGAGCTGGGTCACTCCTGCCGGCATCAAGGTGAGCGGTGAGGGGACTTGGACCAGGATGCTGGCAGTGAGAAGTGAACAAATTGTGAATATATTCTGAAGATGGAGCTGATACGGTCTGCTGATGGACTGAAGGTGGGTGTGATTTGAAGAGCAACATTAAGTACTACTTGCTGAGTTCTTACTATGTGCCAGACGTTGCTAAGACTTTGGAGTCATCCATTCATTTCATATTTAGCTATTGCGACATAAAATTCACACTGTGTGACATGACAAGAAAAACTGAAACATAAAAAATAAAAAATTCTTCGCTGCCCTTTGACCTCCTCTCTCCCCACTGTGCACTGTGTATCTGCGTTCTGCACCGACCAGACCTCCCCCATCGGCAGGAACACTTGCTCAGCCATCAAGAGCAGCATTCTCCCAGCATCAACAAGACAGCTCCTTAAAAGATAACATTCCTTCTTGATCTGGAAAGGGGTCACATGCCCCACCAGCATGACACTTAGATCTGGATTACATAAACTGCCAGCAATACATCATTGGAGGCATAGCCCTCTGCCTCAAAAAACATATATAACTGTGCCTTAACTTCTAACAGGCAGAAGAGTTCTCAAAACTTCTGAGATGCTCTTCCTGGATTATAAATCCTCAAATTTGGCTCGAATAAAATTCTCCATTTCTTCCTTAGATCGACTGATTAAGTTTTTGTCAACACTATTGAACACCTTATAGTAGGGCGGGAATCATTCCAGGCCGTGAGGATGCAGCAGTGAAAAAAATAGACAAAAACCCCTGCCCTTGTGTGACTTACTATCTAGGGGGTGGAGACAAATGAAAACCAAAATAAGTAAAATTTAGCGGTAAGTGTTAAGGACAGTAAAGAAGGAAAGGAGAAGGGAAGTCAGGAGGGTAGTGATTTTACATTTTCAAGTGTTACCTGCCTCAGCTAAAGGAATCCTCACACAAACCCATGATAGAAGTGCTCTCATGGTACCATTTTACAGATGAGGAAACTGAGACACAGGGAAGATCAATAATTTGCCCGCAGTTGCACAGCCAGGAAACGGCAGAGCTGGGCTCTCCAACTGGGTAGTCTGACTCCACAGCCTCGTTTAGACACAACCTGCCTCCTATGTTATACAGCTGGGCTCAGAACAAACAGCTGGTAATTTGACTCTCAGCATGTAGAAACTCAAGGCGAAATGGGAAATGTATGAGGCCATGCAGGTCTTATCTTCCAAAGAAATAAAAATTTCTCAGCCTTTTCTAGGGAGAGAGATATTTCTCTGAACTAAATCTTTGCAAGAAACCATCCATGGCCCCATACATAGCAAGCACAAGGTAACACAACAGGACACCTTCAAGGGGGCTAGTAATCCTTTCCCCCGTTGTAGACTGTGAACAAAGCTGGGGACACAGTAAAGACATTGCCTTGGGGTGCTGGTTACTCCCCACCCCTGCTTCTCTGCCTCAGTGCAGGCTATTTGCCTCTGGATCCTGTGCTCATCTCTGAATCCAGAAGTCCCTCAGCCTCCTTCAATACCCAGCTTAAATCTTGCCTTGCCCAGGGCAGCTCTGCTCCTATCCCACCTCTCTGCATGCTCTGCTCTGCATGGAGCCTGGCAGCAGAAAGAGGAAGTCACAGAGTTGAAATCCCAATTCCTTCCTCTCCAAGTGACAGCTGCTCTACACCTCAGTTTCTCCTGTAAAATGCACGCTGCTAACATCTGTTTATGAGCCTTAAATGAAATTACATCTATCAGTTTACATCCTTGGGACCACGCCTGGCCCCAGGAAGGGACTCAGTAAACGCAGGTCCCTCCCTCTGTACGCCTCTGCATCCTGGCTCTGGGGCTGCAGGATGCCAAGGGCATGAACGTGTTCCCTGGAGCACAGGAAAGCTCAGAGTGCCAATGCTTGGGCAGCGCGCTCACTAAGTACTTCCCTCCTTAAGGCTCTTTCTGAAAACAAGACTCCTGGAGAAATGCAGATTTAATCTGAATGCTCTCCTCTCCAAGCAGAACACCAGGAAGTGGGGAACACGTGCTTGTCATGTCAAAGCTGTGCCTAGTGGTTTGAAACCAAGAGTTGTTCTCCAGGTGAGTTCACCTTTAAATAGTTGGTTTCCCTCAAGCTGGGCTTTGCTGGCAGAGGCTGCTGGTGAGAGGCCTTGGCGTGGAGACAGTGTTTTATTCATAGGCACTGTTCCCAGAGCCACTGGAAAGCACATGTGAGGAGGAGACAGGACCCAGAGTGGAGAAATTAACAGACTCTCATGGCCATCAGCATCTCCATCATTATTCTGTTGGGCCCACACTGAGCGGGGTGGGGGGCTCCTGAACTCATCTCTCCCACAGCCTTCCCTTCTGCATGGTTTGAGGAGGGACCATCCTTGCTGGTCTCTGAGGCCTCGAAGGCCCCACGGAGACATCACCAAGGAGGCTCATGGAGCCTCCCAGGGTGGCATTGGTGGTGTCCCGATGGTTGAGAGAACAGGCTTTAGGGTCAGAGATCTGGATTCAATTTCTGGCTTCAACATGTACTAGTTGTACATGAAGCTCTACGTAGCATCTTTCCCCAAGTCTTCATTTTCTAACTCGAGTACAGAATTCTTCGAAGGATTCCGTGAGCTCCTGCGTGAAAGTCCAGGTCTGATGCCCAGCACATGAAAGTGCTCAGTGCACGTGAGCCCTCGTTTCTGACGTTGCATCACAGCAGAGCAGCAGGTCAGCCTGAGGGAGGTTTGAAGTCCAGAAAATCAGGGCTGAAAGGGCCTTAGAGGTCAGCCTTAGTCCTCAAAGTCACCTAGTTTCCATGTACTACAGACAATGAAACTGAGGCTCAGAGAAGCCAATGGTGAGCTCACGGGCATCAGTGAATCACTAGTAACACTGTAGCTGCCCAGTGCTACCTCCCCTCTACCTCACACACGCACCCCAGGCTCCCCTGGTCCCCGCTGACCGTTCTGTCCTGGGTGGGGAGGGACATGGGACCCTGGGACTGGCTCTCTCCCCAGCAGCCTGACAAGGAAACCCCAAGGAGGAGTGGCCACCCCCGGCCAGGCTGGGCTCTGTAGTGAGTTGCCACATATTCTCTCTTCCATCTGGATCAGAGCCTGGGATAAATGCCAAAGCCCTCTCACACGTGAGGCAGCAGGGAGAGGAAAGGAGGACCAGTGCTGACATGGGCGCTGTCTCCCTTGGGCAGCTGCCCAGCCCAGCCCTGCAGTGAGGGTGGGGAAGGGCTTCCTTCCTGACAACCGGATTTACAAAGGCATCCTGACTCCTGGAAAAAGGGGCCCCAGGGCTGAGAGATCAAAGTTCCTTTCTGCTCCGTCAGCTGCCAGGCACCCACAGAACCTACAGGGGCCTTGGTGAGAGAGCAGAGCAGAAACAACAGGCGCCTTGGTTGGCAAAGCCTGGGATTAAGCCCCACCCAACCAACACCCTGCCCGTCTGAGAAACGAGGGCGACTCCATCTGGACTCTCCCTTCTTCCCTCCAGTACATGTTTTATCTTTTTTAAATTTAAAAAAATTTTATTTTTAAATAGCTTTATGTTTTATTTATTATTGCATTATTTAATTATTTTATTTTGGTGGGGGGAGGTAACTAGATTTATTTATTCTTAGAGGAGGTACTGGGGACTGAACCCAGGACCTCGTGCATGCTAAGCAAGCACTCTACCACTTGAACTATACCCTCCCCCCAGCAGTACATGTTTTAAACTAAAAAAAAAAAAGTAGTAGGAGGAGCACAAGATTTGAAGTCAGACAAAACTGGATTCAGGACCTACTGTGTAGCACCAGGGAATGGTATTCAATTCCTTGTAATAAGCTCTAATGGAAAAGAATCTGAAAATATATGCATGTATACATGTATGTACATGTATAACTGAATCACTTTCCTGTACACCTGAAACTAACACCGTAAGTCAACTACACTTCAATAAAAAGTAAAATTGAAAAAAAACTGGGTCAAATCCTAGCTTTGCCATTCTTAACTCTGTGATCAAGGGCAATAAATAAAATTAATTGAGCTGCTGTGTCCTTATCCCTTCAGTAGAAATAGGAGCAGATCCCTCCTAGGGTTGTTGTGAAGCCTAAGTGAGGCATGGACGCAGGGCCGGGCATGTGCTGAAGTGCAGTAAATATCTGCTCTTAACGCACCTTCAAGACATGGTAGCTGATGCTATGGTGTCATTACGTTATTGCTGTGATCGTGGCAGATACTCAACAAAATCAAAGTATCGTTCATTTTAAGTTGGGATCATTTAAAGTTAGTGAAATTTTCCCACTTACTATGTTAACTGACTCTTCTCATGGAGAAGGATCAGGAGCATGGAGAGCTGAGCCCAAAGCCAGGTGAATTTCACTTTGAAGGTGCATAAGGTATTTTTCAATAGCGATATGGTTCTGTTCCCCTTATTCTAACAATGAAAGAAACTGGTATCCCCTAAGTCCTTATGGAATGGTGATTAAAGGGGGAAGTGCTGTTTAAAAGGATGTAAAAGGACTCTAGAAGCAGAGAAAAACTAACCTAACATGTTTGCTTGTAGAATATATTACAAAGATTAATTCACCAATGATTAACAGAAAACCCACTCTATCTTTTCTCTGCTCTTTCCAGTACCATCGAATTTTCCTCCTTTTATTGAAATGCATCCAGAATAATGCAAGTCTTGGAGAATGACAGGGATTTATTGCCATTTCCCTTTTACAGGTGGGAAAACTTATGCCTAGAGAAGAGCCTAAGGGATGCTCTGGTCAAGTCAGATGCTCACTAAGGCACAGCCCTTGATGGGTGTCTCCCAGGTTGTCTAACAAATAGGACACTTGTTAAAAATGCAGATTTCCAATCCTTACCCCACTCTATTTCTCCCCAAAAAGTTCTGATTCCAAAAATCTGAAATGGTAGCTGGAAATCTGTTGAGTTTTTTTTCCCATTTAAGTATAGTTGATTTACAATATTGTGTTAAATTTAGGTGTACAGCTTCAGATTTTTTTCCATTATAGGTTATTATAAGATACTGGATATAGCTCCCTGTGCTGTACAGTAAATCCCTGTTGTTTCATCTATTTTATATACAATGGTGTGTATCTGTTAATCCCATTTTCCTAATATATCTCTCTCCCTCCCTTTCCCCTTTGGTAACTGTAAGTTTGTTTTCCATGTCTGTGAGTCCATTTCTGTTTTGTAAATAAATTGACTGGTATAATTTTTTTTGATTCCACATACAAGTGTTATAATATTTGTCTTTGTCTGACTTACTTCACTTAGTGTGATAACCTGTAGGTCCATGCATGTTGCTGCAGATAGCAACATTTCATCCTTTTTTATGGCTGAGTAATATTCCATTGTGTATGTGTGTGTGTGTGTGTGTGTGTGTGAGTGTGTTTGCACATCTTCTTTACCCAGTCATCTGTCAATGGACATTTAGGTTGCTTGCATGTCTTGGCTACTGTAAATAGTGCTGAAATGAACATTGGGTGCATGTATCTTTTTGAACTGGAGTTTTCTCCAGATATATGCCAGGAGTGGGAATGCTGGAGCGTATGTAACTTTATTCTTAGTTTTTTAAGGGACCTCCATACTCTCCTTCATAGTGGCTGCACCAATTTACATTCCTACCAATAGTGTAGGAGGTTTCCTTTTTCTCCCCACACTCTCCAGCACTTATTATTTGTAGACTTTTTGATGATGGCCATTCTGACTGGTGTGACTTGCTACCTCACTGTAATTTTAATTTGCATTCCTCTAATACTTAGTGATATTGAACATCTTTTCATGTGCCTGTTGGCTATCTGTGTGTCTTCATTGGCGAAATGTCTATTTAAGTCTTCTGCCCATGTTTTGATTGTTTTTTTTTAATATTAAGTTGTACGAATTGTCTGTGTATTTTGAAAATTAAAACTTCATTGGTCACATCGTTTTCAAGTATTTTCTCCCATTCTGTAGGTTGTCTTTTCATTTTGTTTATGGTTTCCTTTGCTGTGCAAAAGCTTCTACATTTGAGGAAAAGACTTACCATATGACCCAGGAATCCTGCTTCTGGGCATATATCCAGAAGGAACCCTACTTCAAAAAGACACCTGCTCCCCAATGTTCATAGCAGCAGTATTTACAATAGCCAAGACATGGAAACAGTCTAAATGTCCATCGACAGATGACTGGATAAAGAAGATATGGTATATTTATACAATGGAATACTACTCAGCCATAAAAACCAACAACATAACACCATTTGCAGCAACATGGATGCTCCTGGAGAATGTCATTCTAAGTGAAGTAAGCCAGAAAGAGAAAGAAAAATACCATATGAGATCACTCATATGTGGAATCAAAAAAAAAAGCATAAATACAAAACAGAAACAGACTCATAGACATAGAATACAAACTTGTGGTTGCCAAGAGTACGGGGGGTGGGAAGGGATAGACTTGGGACTTCAAAATTGTAGAATAGATAAACAAGATTATACTGTATAGCACAGGGAAATATAATACAAGATCTTATGGTAGCTCACAGAGAAAAAAATGTGACAATGAATATATATATGTTCATGTATAACTGAAAAACTGTGCTCTACACTGGAATTTGACACAACATTGTAAAATGACTATAACTCAATAAAAAATGTTAAAAAAAAAAGCTTCTACATTTGATTAGGACCAATTTGTTTAGTTTTGCTTTCATTTCTTTTGCCTTGGGAGACTGTTACAAGAAAATATTGCTATGATTTATGTCAGAGAATGTGTTGCCTATATCCTCTTCCAGGAGTTTTATGGTGTCATGTCTTATATTTAAGTCTTTAAGCCATTTTAAGTTTAGTCTTGTGTATAGTGTGAGGGAGTATTCTAACTTCATTGGTTTACATGCGGCTGTCCAGCCTTCCCAACACCACTTGCTGAAGAGACTGTCTGTTCTCCATTTATATTCCTGCCTCCTTTGTCAAAGTTTAATTGACTGTAGGTGTATGGGTTTATTTCTGGACTCTCTATTCTGTTCCATTGATGTATATGTCCGTTTTTGGGCCAATACCACACTATTTTCATTACTATAGTTTTGAGTATTGTCTTAAGTCTGGGAGCATTATGCTGGGAATGTGTTTTTAATGACCACATCATGGGACTCTTACCAGGGCCAAGACTACAGTAAGGCAATGACTTTGGACACAAAATTTAAGGGATGTTAAAAACTCAGCAATCAAGATCAAAATATTGCACAATTTAATGCAATATTTTGAAAAATCAAAATTCATGCAAAAAATCTATGATGAACAAAATATCAAAAGTTTGACTATGGAGAGGACCAGCAACTGGTCTGGAGCCTGAGGTGAAAGAAGAATCAGGAACAATGACCACCTCACCCTGGGTGGCCCTGATTCTTATCACACCAGCTTGGGAAATTCTGCCCTGGGCAATTAGACTTCTAGTCTCTGTTCTCCAGGAGACACATCCTGCCTTTCCAATCTCTTAAATAATGGCTCTTAATTGCAGGTCCTTGAGAAACGCTGATCTGGAAGCAGTCAAAACCTCTGGAGGCAGGGCCTGGGAATCCAAAACTACACCCAGGTGAACTCTGATGCACAGCCAGGTGTGAGATGCACCCGAGGTGAGCCTCAGGTCTCCCTGGGAAAGCCGAGAGACAGTGGTTTACCTGAGCTCATCGCCTCCTTACCTTCTCTGTGTCGATGCCTCTGGACATGGACCAGGTGGACACGATGTAATCCATGACTCGCTCGCTCAATCCCTTGGGCACCTGGTAGAGCTTCAGGAAGTCCCGAACGCTGTTGAGCATCTCATGGTACCTGTTGGTGTTGGCGTACATCTGTTGGAAAATGGTCGTCACATTCCCGAAGATGGTGGCATAGAGAAGTGCTAGAGGCAGGAGGGGAGGAAAAACACATGAGTGGTCCCTGAGCCAGGGCCCGAGAACGCCCAGCTTGCCCAGAGCCGGCCAATGGCCAGCGCTGCTGGTCCCAGGGCAGACAGTCCTCACTTTCTCAGGAGAACCTCACCCCAGGAGCCTCTGGGAGTGGACCCAAAGAAAGAGTCTCCAAATACCAGGCCACTAGGAAAAACCCGTGGGAGGCAGGGCTAGGGTAGAGGGAGCTGGCAATATTGGGGCCAAAATGAGGAGACAGACAGTACTGGGGATGGGTACAGGACAATCAGACTGCTTCACTGAATACTTCTTGTCACTAGAAGTGTGACCCATGACTAAAGCCACCAGTCAAATGTGTTCCTATGTGCTCTGTATCAGCCCAAATCTGACCCTATCAGCAAGTGATCTTCTTAAAGCCCTGCTCTGTGCCAAGCACTACACTACCCGCAGGGGACAGAATGGTAAATGAGACGCTCGGTCCTGGTTCTCATACAGCCAACAACATAGTGAAAGGACGGATCTTAAAAACGTGATCTCAGATAAATAACAGCAAGTCTGCCGAGAGCACTGAAGGTTGTTTGTTTTATCTTTGCTCTGCACTTATTGTTAAGGTGCATGTTAACACAATAACCCACTTCACTGTGATGTGGCTCCTGGGGAAAAAAGCATGGCTTTGATATGAGGAAGATAAAATCAGGTCTCCTCTGAGATATAACAGGCACTACCATGAGCTGCTACTACTCCGTTACATTAGTGTTGTGAAGGAGGACCATCACATCATCACAAAACCCCACATTCTACATGTAACTCCCATTTGCCCCTGAATGCTAAGCTCAACGGCTACCTCTTCCAGGAAGCCTCCCCGGTACTCCTCCCCTCCATCTGTCCCCGGGAGGGTGTCCATGACTCCCCAGGCATACAGATCTTCCTCAAGAAGAGTGACATCCCAAAGAGACAGGAAGAGGGCAGGGCACAGCCATTCAAGAAATGCTACAGCAATTAACATCAAAATGGTGAAAGATTCAATCCCCAGTAGACCTTGAGGCTCAAGATGGTGGGAGATTTGACTTCTAGCAGATCTTGAGCCTCATTATACTCTCCCTGTAATATATTAACATGGTGAATAATATGTCCACAGGCACCATGGCAGTCCCAAGGCCAACCACAAAAGGTCAAAGAGTGGGAAATGGCCATCTTCTTGGGAATTCCAGCCCCTTTCCCAGGCTAGTTAGACTGGTCCTTACACTTATTAGCAGATGAAGCCACCAAGCCCATAAAAACTGGCAACACGGTGCCTCAGCTGCCTCTCTCTCTCTCCATTCTAAGACGGCCCACGCTCAGTCTATGGAGTGTGTACTTACTTTTAATCTGAGCACCCAACCCCCACCTCGTGGCCTTTCTCTTGTCTTTCAATGTATCTCTCTAAATAAATCTACCTTTACTCAACTGTGGCTCACTCTTGAATTCTTTCCTGTGCGAAGCCAAGAACCCACACTTGGTGGGGCATGTCCCAGGGGCTCAGCCGAAGCCTGGGGCATGGCCCTCCTCATGTCCCGTATCCGTTTTTCCTGCATCACCGTTAAGCCCATCCTAAGGTGGAACTATCATAAGTCAAAAATGCATTTAATACACCTAACCCACCAAGCATCACAGCTTAGCCTAGCTACCTTAAATGCGCTCAGAATACTTACATTAGCCCACAGTTGGGCAAAGTCATGTAATACAAAGCCTATTTTATAATAAAGTGTTGAGTATCCTACCTAACTTATTGAATACCGGACTAAAAGTGAAAAAGAGAATGGCTGTTTACTCTAGCGATCGTGCGGCTGACTAGGATCTGAGGCTCACCTCTGCTGCCCAGCACCATGAGAGAGTATCACACTGCATATTAATCACCCAGGAAAAGATCAAAATCCAAAACTCGAAGTACAGTTTCTGCCGAAGGCATATCGTTTTTCCACCACTGTAAAGTTGAAAAATCCTAAGTCAGGGACTATCTGTATTTCCGTAGAGCTCATGTTTTTTTGCAACCATTTTGCAGTCTGAAGCTTTCTTCTTTGCCTGGACTCTTACAGGGTGTGCTTAAAGACTGGACTTGGCTCTTCCTCGCCACTGTAACCCTGGGAGCTAACGATTTACCAGTACCCAAAAGATACTTGTAGTATTAGTGAATTTCACACATTTCTGCTATGGCCCATTTAAAAAATGCATCATTATCAATATACAATAAACTGTACCTGTTAAAGCATACAACTTGTTAAGTTTTGACATATGTATAGGTCAATTACCACAAGTTAGTAAGCATATCCATCACCCCTAAAAGTTTTGTCATATGCCTTTATAATCCCTACCTCCCTATCCTTCCATCCCCAAGCAACTGCTATTCTCTGTCTCCATAGATTAGCATGCATTTTCAAAAATCTTACATAGATGGAATCAGAGTATATACCTTTTAAAATATCTTTTTAAAGATAAAATCCATACACCATAAAAGGCATCCATTTAAAGTGTACAATTTAATAACTTTCAGCACACTTACAGAGTTGTGCAACCATTATTAGCACAATCTAAGTTTAGAATATTTCCATGCCCCAAAAAGAAACTATGTACTCACTATCAGTCATGCCCATAATCCCCTAGGCAACTGCCAATCTACTTTCTGTCCCTATCGATTTGCCTATTCCGGACAACCAATTTTACATAAATTAAACAACATGATATGTGGCCTTCAGTGGCGAGCCTCCTTCATTTAGCATAAGGTTTTCAAGGTTCATCCATGTTGTAGCATGTATCGGTACTCCATTCGGCTTTACTGTTGACTAATATCCCATTGTATGGATAGTCCGTATTTCACTCCTCCATTCATCAGTTCATGGGCATTTGAGTCACTCTGATGAATATTGCTGCTATGAACATTCGTGTGCAAGTATTTGTACGGACATGTTTTCAGTTCTCTTGGAGTGAAATTACTGTATCATATGGTAACTATGGTCAACATTTTGAAGAACTGCCAAACTCTTTTCCAAAGTAGCTGCACCATTTTACATTCCCACCAGTGGTGAATGAGGGTTCCAAATGTCTCCACATCCTATCAACACTCGCTATTACCTGTCTTCTTGATTATCACCATCCTAGTAAGTGAGAACTGCTATCTTACGTAGCTTTGATTTGCGTTTCTCACGTGACTGATGATGTTGAACATCTTTTCACGTGCTTGATGACCATCTGCATACCTTCTTTGGAGAAATTTCCACTCAAATCCTTTGCCCATTTTTCAATTGGGTCTGTCTTTTTATTATTGAGTTACAAGAGTGCTTTATATATTTTGGGTATGAATCCTTTATCAGATATATGATTTGCAATGACTTTCTCACATCTTGTGGGTTATTTTTTCACTTCCTTCTAAAAAAATTTCTTAATGTTGAACTATAGTTGAATTACAATGTTATGTTAATTTCTGGTGTACAGCATACTGATTCAGTTATACATATATATATATTCTTTTTCATTACAGGTTATTACAAGCTATTGAATATAGTTCTCTGTGCTATACACACTTTCTTTATGGTACGGTTTGCATTACAGTTTTTAGTTTTGATGTAGTCTAATTATTTCTATTTTTCTTTTGTTTCCTTTTTTGACTGGCTTATTTCATTCCATGTAATTATTTTGCGATTCATCCATATTGTTACATGTATAATAGTTTGTTATTTTAAGAAAAAGTTTTATTTTATAATACTTATAAATTCACAGAAAGCTGTAAAGATAATGCACAGAGATTCCATGTGTGTACCCTTCACCCAGATTCCTGACTGGTTACATCTTATATAAATGAAACACAGTATCAACACCAGAAGATTTACATTGCTATAAAGTGTATGTATAATTCTGCATAACACATTTTATCCCATGTGTAGATTCATGTACTGAGTATCACATTCAAAACACAGAACTGTTCCATCACCACAGTGATCTCCCTTATGCTACACTTTTACACTCACACTCCCTCCAGCAACCACTAATCTCTTCTCCTTTTTTTATAATGATGTCATTTCAAGAACATTATATAAATAGGATCATATAGCATATGATCTTTGGAGACTGGCTTTTCCCACTTAGCAAAATGCCCTTGAGATCCATCCACAGTGTCGTGTGTATCAACAGTTCACTCCTTTACATTGATGAATATAACCCATTGTCTGGATATACCCCAGTCATTCCTTCCCAATAATCTTACTCAGGTTTAGCTGACAGACTAAGAGAGGGAGAAGATAAGAAAGGAACAGATCCAGGGGAAAGGGAAAGAAATCTTAGGTTAAATCTGTCCAGCAGCACTGGACACGGCTGCCTGAAAAACTGAAGGTACTGGATGAGAATTGTAAATCAGGATGGAAAAGAGGGCTGCTAGCTCTGGAAAGGTACCAGGAGTGGTGCCAATCTGAACAAAAGGAGCCAGATGAAAAGCAGAAGTCATCAAGCCTGAATAACGCAGACACCCTATCTCACACAGGACGGGGTCGAAGCCCCTCCTCCTCCAGCCCAGTAACGCCACCGAATGTGTTCAGGACCAGCCTCCAGGGCCTGGGAAACTGCCTTGCTCTCAGTGAGTCTGACCCTCATCCAACAAGCCTGCATGGCAGTCCTGCTTCAGCTGTGTTTTCTGGTCCACAGTGAGCCAGAGGTCCTGCATGAAGAGCAGAGGTGCCTTCCTCAGTATGGCTGCCAAAGATTAATCTAATCTTGAGCTTAAAAAATAGTTACAACAAATCAATACAGTAAGAATAGCTCTCTTGTCCGTGATCTGAGAGCCTGGCACAGATCTGAGACACTGGTGTGCTGGTCAGTTAAGGTGGTGATGCCACATCCATCAACAGCCCAGGGCTGCTCCCACCCCAGAGCAGGGCTGCTCTGCTCCTAAGGCATTCTAGAAGGTCAAGGGCCCACAGGAGGGCCTCATTCAATTATTACTACAATTATGAAGTATTATGATTGT